TTCTGGCGGCGGTGGTGGGAGGAGAGTAGGGTCAAGCAACAGCTTCTTGGAATGAGGTTGCGGCGCGGCAGAACCAAGTGGATTGTGCTTTGCTCTGCAAGGCGGCACGGGCAATGTTTTTATTGCGCTTTTTTTTTCCTTCTTTTTCTTACTTTTCCCCCCAGCCCTTCTCTACCACTCTACACACGGGGGGAGGGATGCGGCGGTGGCGGGGCAGTACAGTTCTCCCACTTTGTGAGTTTCTGCCGAGAGCCTAGACATTGTGGCCGAGCGAGTCGTTGATTTATCTTCTGGCCTTGACGGCCCTCCCCTGCACTCCCTTTTTCCCGGCATCATTGAGGTCTGCTGTCGGCGGGTGCAGTCTTCCAGCGTGGAACTTTCCCCCACATGCTCCCTTGGATTTCTTAGGACAATGCGACAGGGCCCCACGTGGAATATATATATATATATATACATGCCTTCTGCTTTTTGCTCTTCGTTTGTGTCTTTTGTTTGTATTCAATGGTTCGTACCAACAATAACAAAAAAAGGGGGGCGCCGTGATTGTATAGTTGTCTGAAGCGACGCGTAAAACCGTTACAGGCGATGAGGGTCAGCTCCAAGGATTGGTTGCTTTCCTTGCACTTCATGCCGCTGGAGTTTGGCATGCTGCTGACGCTATTGGTGTTTTGCGTGGCACCAGCGTATGCTGTCTGGTCGCTGCTGCTCCTTGCATCAGGTTGCCTGTGCACAATGGTGCTGCTCACCCTTCTTCCGCTTGCGCCGTTGAAGGCTGGAGGCACACATCATGTTGGTATTCGCCACATCACGCGTGATCTGGCCGTGTACTACCCAACATTTATTAAGCCAATTGAGGGGGAGCCTTGGCTTCCTGGCAATGATTCCTTTTACATCCACACCATGGCGGAGAGGGTCAGGCTGGGCAAATTGTGGCTGAAACATTTGAAGCTTGTGCAGATTCCCTGCACCCGCAACGCGAGTATCGTCTCACTCATGACACATGACGGTGAACCTCGGAAAGTCTTTATTATTAGTCATACATTAAATACGCATCACTTGGCATACTCACGACTTGCCTTGGCGCTGTCTGCATCTGGTGCCCTGGTGTATAGCGTACTTCATTCCGATACCATGGATGTTTCCGTTGAAAAAAACATAGCCCAGACACCTCTAGGTGAGGATGAAGAAGAATCGTTGCTGGAACTAGGACTGAGCCAAGAGCTCATGGAGGCGCAACTGGAAAAACGTGTTGAAGACGTTGTGGGTGTTATCGAGGGCATTTCTGCAGGGAAGCTGCTTCGACAGTTGCGCGTTGGGCCCGTGGAATTACAGTCATTTATCTCTGCTGGGATTAAATTCAACCTCATTGGTCATGGCTTCGGCGCTCTGACGATGCTAGCTGTCGCCGTGAAGGCCCCCGCAGTCGCCTCCTGCATTCACTCCGTCACTGCCTTTGATGCGTGGCCGTTGGGTCTGCTGGAGCGTACTGTGGGAGGCACCGTCTCCATGCCGCTGCACATCCGGGTACAGCTCCTCGACTCCGAGGAGTGGTGCGAGCGCCGGGAATACGTTGCGCGGTCGGAGGAGCTGCGGGCGCAGCTTTCCTCGTCTGGTGTCTCGTGCCTCCGCAAAACTTGCAGTGGGACCGACCACAAGTCCATCATGGACATGGGTTTGCTGCTGCCCTTGACGAAGCGGAAGCGGTTTGCGTCCAAGAAGTCCGCAAAGCTTATCCCTCTAATGGCCAAGGAGGTGCTGCAGTTTACCGAGTGATAGTAACAGAGGGGCCGACGTGAGTCTAAAAAAAAAAATCGGCACTGCTTCAGCTGAAGGCATTGCCAGATAACACCGCCACATAAAAATACAGGGAAACGGAAAACCTACAACGGAAGCTGAAACTTCGTTCTGTTTGTGTGTCCCTTTCCACGTGGGTGGGTGCCGCCGGCGTGGCTATACTTTTATTGCGTCTCTCTCTCTCTCTCCTCCTGACTTTCTTTGTCCTCCCGCCTCTCTCATGCTGCAGCGTATAACATTTACGCATACATATACATATATTATTTGGTTTGCTCTGAATTTACGCCTAGGAGACATCAGTAGAAAGTGTCCCCAACTGCAATAACGCACACAGAAGGATAAATAATAAAACCACAGAGGAAACCGCGATGGGTGCAATGGAGGGATTTCTGGCATGTGCACCAACCTCCTACTGGGACTACATCATATCGCCCCATGTAGTCTCTCTTGTCGCTTTGCTCCCTCTCAGTGCCCTGCTACACATCTGCGGAGGTGCGGCTTTGTGGGCGCTCTTTCTGCTTCCCTTAGGCTGTTTGCTAACGGCCATCATGTTTATATTACTACCGCTGCCTATTATAAAGCCCGTGGGCGGCCGCTACCACGTCGGCGTGGCACATATACGTAGTCGCCAGAGCCAGGCGATGCCGCCACTGGCCGTTTTCTACCCAACCAATGAAGCTCCACGGCGCAAGGGTATTTCCTATCTTCCTTTCAATGATGCTCGTTTCATGAGTGGGATTGCCTCCAATTCGAAGATTCCACTTTATTTTTTGAGGGACTTCATATTTGTGCGACTGCAATCCACGGAGAATGCGAGACCGATTCCTCTCATTACCAGCACTCAGCTACCGCTTCCCGTAATCGTCTTCAGCCACGGTCTCTACGGGTACCATCGTTTGTACAGTTGCCTACTGGCGGATCTTGCCGCCCGTGGGGCCGTCGTGGTGAGTGTTGGGCACTGCGACGGAAGTGCCTCTTTTATGAGTGACGGTGATGCGGGAGGGCCGGAGTTTCCCCTCAAGCAATTGGACTGGGAATCCCCCGCCTGTGAGGAGGCGCTTGCCCAACGCGTGCTTGAAGTACGACGCACAGTGAGGCGTCTGTCCGAAGAGGAGTTTTGGAAAGGGCTGGGCTTCGCCGCAGCTGACGTTGATACGTACCTCCGCCAACCGCCGCGGGTTCACTTGTCTGGTCACTCGTTTGGCGGGGCAACGGCGCTTGTCGCCGCCCTGCAAGAGGAACAGGAGTCTGCGCCCAGAGCAAGTGCCGTTCAGAGTGTCATTGTGTTTGACCCCTGGCATTTCCCGCTGCAGCGAGACATGTTTTTTCGCCCGATTGAATGCGGTCGTAAGTCGTACACAACTCCGACGCTAATGATACAGTCCGAGGAATGGGTCCATTACACGCCCAGCTGGGACTTCTTTCAGCAGCTTGCAAAGCTTCTTTTGTCGCAACCGTCGATTGTCTCTCTCAGTGAGAGGGAGCAGCGGAGTAGGTTTGTGACGGAGAAAACGGGCAGCACAAATCACTACTCCGTGAGTGATGTCGTTCTCTTAAGCCCCATTATTCACGGCTGCACGAAGGCCGTGGTTCCTCCCCAAGTACAGATTTTGGAGTGGTCCAACACGCTTCTTCGCTTTGCCAAGCAGCACACAGTGTTCGCCAAAGGGCCATCGGGTTCATTGCAGTAGCACGGTTGTTTCTTTGCGAAGTTCTTGTTGTTCTTATTTTTTTGCCTATTTAACGTATTTGTTTGCGTCCGTTGAAATGCGTATTGGACGGAGGAATGGGGAAGTGAGAGGCGGGGCTGCACTGCCTCTCCTTAGTTCTTGGCCCAGGATGGGTTTCTTGGCGGAAAAGGAGGTCAGCTCGGGGGTGTTTTCTTGCACTTTTTTGGCGCGGGGTCTTGAGGAGGGGCGCACGCGATTTTTGAAGGAGCATCAACAGCAATAGCAGAGAAGAAAAAAGAGGGAGATAAGATAACCGTCGCAGCAGAAGTGTAATTCAAGCCTACACAAGGGGAAGGACAAGGAGGGAGAGGCCATGTCAACAAGACGACTGCTGCACACGATGATTCGTGTGGGGGATTTGGATCGCAGTATCAAATTCTACACAGAGGCCCTCGGTATGCGCCTGCTGCGAAAGTGGGACTGCCCAGAGGACAAATTCACACTGGCTTTTCTCGGATATGGCACCGAGTGTGAGACTGCGGTCCTGGAGCTTACCTACAACTACGGCCAGAGTGAGTACAAGCACGGGGATGCGTATGGGCACATTGCAATTGGTGTGGAGGATGTCGATGGAGAAGTCGCCCGGTTGAGGGCAATGAATGTGCCGATCGACTATGAAAGCGGCGATGGTTTCATGGCATTTATTGTGGACCCCGATGGGTACTATATCGAGCTTCTTAACACGGAACAGATGATGAAAAAGTCCCGAGAGCACATGAAGCAACAGGGCACGGCTTAAGCGGGTGGAGGAAACGAAAAGCAACGAAAAAAAAAAACAGGAAGCTGCCGACACCTGCGTTGCCCCATATTTACTTAAAGGATGTTTAAATTCATATTATTTGTGTGAGGGAGAGTGGAGAAAATTATGGGAGTGGGCCCCTCTTTATTATGACCTTCATTACTGATCTTATGGGTGCCGTCAACGCGTTGAATTTTTTTTATTTATTTCTCTCGTTCTTGTTTCTTTTTCCCGCCGCTCAACGATGGCCTCTTTAGTTTCTTTTTTCTCTCTTCATGTGTGTCAATCGGCTGTCGGTGTGTGAAGTCTCGTCTCGTTGCTGTCTCCTTTCTTCAATCCCGTTATTTACACACACACACACGCACATGCGCATGCGCACGCGCAGTCTCTTTCTTTCTTTCTTTCTT